TTATTATCCTGCTCATGGTATACGGTATGGACAATTATAATATTATTAAGAAATATACGTGTATAAATCGTTAAATTTAGCCTAAGTCACATATGCCTGCAACCGATTGTTAAAAATTATATGCAACATCTATATATTCAAAAATATTTAAAAATTACAATGACAGTCACATGGAAAACCAAATAACGGAATTAATACAAAATTAATTTCGCAAATGGAAGAATAACAACAGAGTGTGCATCAAAACTGTCGTAATTTCTTCCAGTTAGAAACTTCTTAATTTTGAATATTTATAAACTGTGTTTTAATAGACTTTTAACGTATAGTAGTCGAGGTGATTTAATGGTAATTAACTATCTACATAGATATTGAACGAATTATTACGAAAGACAAACAAGTTTTGAAGGAAACATGACGGTTGCGGGCGATTCTGTATGTTAATTTCTTGCATGGTACAGCATAAAACTATTTGTACATAGCTGATAGCTGAATTATTATTCTCGTACAAGGACATCTTGTTTAAAATATGTCTCGTCAATAACGCAATAACAATGATCGGTGATATAGAATTAAAATGGCATACTTTAACTATTCATTAATTAATCTGAGAAATATCCATTGTCACAATTGTCTATTTAAAGAAGCGTAATCTCGAATCTAATTGCTTTGTAAATACGCATTTTTTTCAAATTGGTACATTTATCACAATGGGAATCTGAATGCTATCTTCTCCATAAAAATATATAGACTCTTCTTATTTTATCGAATCTTATCGCGGTCGAATGTAAGCCTCAAGATAATAAATCTTCTTGAGGCATGCAAGATTATTGAGAAGATACACAGCGAGATAGCGATAGCTTTACTCGCACATGCATCGTCGGCATGCTCATTTGAGGCGCAAAATATTCGCAGCGAACGACTCGTATCATTATACACTTGGTTGCACGCATGGCGTTCTCATGAGAAATTCGTGCATCCGATAACCGCAATACGCACTTACGCAGATTTCATCGAAACGTATCTAAAATGCTTCTTCTCTCCCGTTCAAACAGGAATATCCACCAGTCAATAACAAATCAAAATCGAAGCCTGCCACACGAGTGATATCAGCGGACGGCAATCACGGAGATAACAAAACGGATACCATAAGTTCCAGCAAGCAATCTTCAGAGAAGAATGAGACAGACAGCGTCAACAGGACTACGACTATTACGTAAGTTATAAGATTCTCGCAAGAAATAAATTGATGTTTGTATTAATATAATTTTATTAATGCACGATAATTGCAGTAACGGTACCAACGCCAAGCAAGAATCGAATCCATTCGAAGAGGAGGAATGGGACGAGGACGGAGGTGAACCACTGGTCGATAATGGAGAACCTGGTGTTCCCGTACGTGCTTTGTACGATTACGAAGGTGCTGAAGCGGACGAGCTCAGTTTTAAACAAGGTATTACAGAAAAGGCATGGTCCTTCGCAAAATTTCAGAGCTCAATCCTATTTGAGCGACTCGATTAAATTACGTTTAGTAAAGGAGTGATATAATTGTTTGAACTTGTTCATATAATTAAGGTAGTATGAGGTGCATAGTCTCTGTAAAAAAATAACTAGAATTGAAAATTTATATTTTCTGTATAAAAATGAATGTTTTATATATATATATATGAAACAATTAAATAAGATTAATATTTATATTTAACATGCAATTTTATTTTGTAGTTTAAATGAAATTTCTTATTTTGTCTTAATTATTTTTTTAAAAATATATCTGTCTTTTATTGAAATAAATATTATAATATTGAAATAAATAATTTATGAAATAATTTTTTATCCAAGTTTTAAATCACTATTAAACTTTTGTATTTTCAAAAATATAATATGTAGTGAAAAATCTGTCATTCTTTTACTTTTGTTAAAAAGAAAAAACATTCTTAATATAACTTGAGCGACAATCGAATAGTAATAATTTGAATTCCATTTTTTTTCAGGAGACGTATTCGAGAAACTGGAAGATGAAGACGAGCAGGGATGGTGTAAAGGAAGGAAGGACGGCAGAGTAGGCCTTTATCCGGCAAATTATGTAGGCTTGGTGTCGCAATAGATTAACTAATGCAAAGCCAAATCCACAAGTTAGTTACTTAAATATGTAATCTCCGCGAAGAATAAGATTGCGTTTCATTTCTCTTCGCTATTGTTTGCGCGAGTAGAAATTTGGCGGGACGTGAGTTTCGCGGCGCCCTGTAGAACTATGTGGCTTATGATGAATGAATTGAATGAAGAAATGAGTTACAAAAATTTCTGAATTCGATACCCCTAGGTGAAACGCAAACTGATTGTCAGCATTTACAAATTGTATAAATGGCGAGTGGCGATTCCATTTCAAGATCTTTTCCTCGCGATTAGCGGGATTAAAATGGAACAGTTTACCACACGAAGATATACCCCTCACTCAGAATGAAATTTGTTTTTAGATAGCTAGGTTAGTAAAAATCCTTCATTAGTTAGACTCTATAGATAAATATGGATTACATGCATATGGCGCGTGTATAGCAAGTTTAGAATATTGGAATATTGTACGTTTTATGATTCATTGTTGTAACTCATTGTTGTAACAAAAAGAATCTTTCGATTGAAACGCGATGAGAGTTCTATTTAATTTATTGTTATTAAAAAAGAAGTACTATTAAAAACTAATGTCTATATAAATGGTGTCATTGTACATAATAGATGTAAGAGCCTAGCAATATGTAAACTATTAATTGTCATTTAATGAATTTGAGGTGAACGTAAAAAAACACAGTACATAACTTTGAACGAGCATAAATTTCGTATAAAAAGAGATTCGGGACCTATAAATCAATAATTGTTTCATTTATTGATTAAATCTTATAGTCGAGATAATAATTTGATGAAATAAATATCAATTATCAATATACTATAAAAGAAAAATATTTTCATCTAAAGTATATCTTATAGACATATACATGTAAACTTGTATAAATCCGGTATGAAAATCGTCTTTGAAAGAAAATTTTATTTAATCATTTATTTTCATTTGAAAGGAAGTATATATTTCATATATTTCAAAATTAATTATAGTAAACATCGAAAATGATAAAAATGTCTTGCATTAACCGTTACTTTAATTAATATAATATAATACATACCTACCAAATATCACGCATATTGAATGAAATAAGTTTTTCTGAAACTAAATGTATGCGATTCTAGAGAGTTAGCATGAAAAATTAACATATAGCTAACGTTTTTATTTTCAAAAAAACTCTTTTCGTATACACATCTTCCAAGTTATCTAATCAGCGTTAGCTGCAAAGTCATAGAGATACTTGATTTATGATTATTATAATATAGGTATTGAAAAAAACAAAGTATTCATTGCAAATACGTCGTGTCTATGTACACAGTATTTATGTAAATAATCGTATAGAATATATAGTAAAATTATAAATTCAGTTTGACTGATTTTTTAAAAATTATTCATTTAATTAATCCTCCAAATTACCTTTTGTAAAGTGTGTTCACAGTTCCAAACACAAAGTTGTTAAGTATATATAAATTGTAGCTTGTGTATAAAGTTTATTATGTATGTTTAATAAATGACTTCTACATAAAAAAAACAACATTTTATCGATTTATCGTATTATATTTATGAATTATTCATGTTTTAAATATACAGACGAAACTGAGAACAAAAATATCTTAAAAGATACAAGTACAATTACGCTTAAACTGAAAATAACATCGAAATTTTATGTGAAATATATATTGAAATTACACAAATATGTCGCCAAAATTAAAAAATAATAAAGATTATTTTTTATATGTTATAGCACACAAAGCTTAAAAATCCTTTTTTAAGATATTTTTTTAGAATGTAATTGGACTGTAAATTATTTATACTTAAATTTTATCTCAGAGAAATTATCTTGGAAATTTATCACTAATAACTAATAGGCATTAATTAAAGAAATACAATATCGTATATAATTAATATATCTTCTTAATAAAATATAGTATAACATTTTGCTTACTGATGTATTTGAATCTTATATTTAACGTTACTATTTAACAAGGTTTCAATAAAAATATCAAGTACACACATTACTATGGTATAGACACATTTTAAATAATGAACATTTATTGTAAATAAATTGTTTCTTTCAGCAATGTGATACTTATAAAGTGTTTTGAGAAGTTGTTGAGAAAGAAAAAAATGAATATTTTATAATTAGCATTGCAAACGAAGAAAGTCCCAGTAAATTCATGAAGAAATTCCATCCATCATATACATTTCTGCATTTAGAATTCATTTATATTATTTAGCTGGGGCTATCTTATATTTCATAATTTACATTAGTAACTTATGTTCTATGTCATATATTTACATTTACATTAATATATATGATTATTCATAAGAACTTTAAAAACATAAAGTAATGCATATATGTTTATGTATTACGTATCAACAAAGTGATACGTGTGTCTTATGTAAAAAATGGTTGTCTTCATATGTCTTCTCCTTTTTTTTTAAATAGGTATATATATATATA